ACTTGTTGTTAAATATTTAAACTGAAGGAGCTGGGCATAAAAGACCACAGTATGGCAGGGTTTGGATTTACTTTCAGCCCCAATGCTTCACTGGTAAAGCTGTGGCAAAGCAAAGGGTTTCTTGGCTGTGTTGTTAAAAGAGCTGAAAATTACTGAGTGTTTCAAACACAACTAACTGTAGCTCCAGCTTAAACGTGATTACCACGATTGCCATCAACCAACTGGGAGAAAGAGAGCTGGCCACAGAACTCTTTGGGATCAAGATCTAAATGACCCTGAAATAAATTCCACCAGAGGGGAGAAACTCCCTTCCTAGAAATCTGTGGAGATTCTCAGACATCCAGGTCATGGTTTTCCCAAAGGTGCTTTTTTCAAGAGGCAACATTTTTCTTTGAAGATGTTTTGCTTCTCATCCAAGAAGCTTCTTCAGCTCTGACTGAATGGTGGGGAAGGAAGGATTTATACTCCTTGCAGACAGCTGGTCATTTACATTTTTTTAGAGCAGGGATGTCAAACTCATGTTGTCACAGTGGTGTCACGTGACATATTGGGACTTTTCTCCCTTCGCTAAACTGGGTAGGTGCATGGCCAGCACATGAGGCATTTGGCCCTTGGACCGGGAGTTTGATAGCCCTGTTTTTTAGAGAGTCATTGAGGGCGCTTGGAGTCTGTGCCCTCAGGGTCACCCCACCAGACCCCATTCAACAGGCACCGCCTTCTCCAACCAAGATCCTGCATTAAGTCCTGGATATCGGCATCAATTTCTCATTTTCTGGCTTTGCTCAGTATCTGCTTCAAACCTTTTACTTTTGCAGTAATTACGGGTATTGTCTCCTGCAGCTGATGCTAGCGGTACGACATGTTCCACAACATTTAATCCTTTCCCTTGCTGCCATTCTGGAGCTTCACGGCTTAATGAAACAGAGTCAGTAGATCACAATATGACCCTGTTAATATTTTTAATGCCATTTTTACAAATTACACCATAATGCATCGATTACCAGGATGAAAGCAAAATCTCAGCTGCGTCTGTCTGGAGCCCAAATAAAAGAACATTTGAACATCTGTTCATTCTGCAAATGTCTTTAAAAGCTTTGATTTTCTTGTAATCATTTGGTTCCACCATTTCACTTATTTTCTGAATGTATATCCAACAGCCTCAGGACAGTAGCCAGAGATCAGGGTAATAGTACATTGTAATCAAAGTTCCTGGGTGCACTTCTGTTTTTCCTTCAGAATTAACTACTGTAGATGGGGGCAGGGGGGCTTGTGGGGGAAGAGAGAAACGGCCTCCTCTCCTTTATTCAGAGTTCATAGTGAAATACTGAGAGAATTCAAAAGCAAAGTTGTATTTTTAAGGTAACTTAATGTATACTGTTTGTCTGGAACTATTCCTGTTGCCCACAGTCCATTCTAAATGAGATTAGATAGGGAGACACTACAAATAATAAATTGAAAGATGCCTTTTTTTCAGATGTTTGCACCATAGTACAAAATATGGCATTTTAAACATTGTCAGTTGCGGATCTTCATTAGTATTAGTAGTAGTTTCCAAAAAGAGGCAAACAAAGCAGCAATTATTAAATCCCAGATCATCTAGAGGAGCAAAGGAGTGCGATGAAAGCAAGGAAAAAAAGTAGGGGAAATAGAACAAAAGGTTAAAGTATAAGATAAGCATCTTATACAGTAGCTTCAGCACAAAATGATCTTGAGGCATCATATGCTATAAAACAAAAGGCAACAAACCTGAATTAACTATTTTAACCTGCATTCATATGCACAGTAGTACATTTGACTTCCTGAGGCCAACTCACCACATGGCAACTCACTGTGGGACAAGAGTTACACTAATATCGAAAAAATGATGGAATAGAATCTTTAAAGAAAGGAGGGACAAAATGAAATGTGGATGACAAAAATTAAAATATTTTAAAAATTATTTTAAATAATAAAATTGAATTGTTGATTTGTCGCATAGCAAGCTGTCCTGTGAAGAGAGTTGGCCATGTTGATTTGTCCTGTGGCAAGTTGGCTGTGGTGAGTTTCTCTAGAACTGGTCCACTTTTAAATATGTGTAAAAATAAGGGGAATATAAACTTGAGACCTTTTGCTCTTGGACTTTGAAAGCCAATATAGCAGTAAGAAAAGAAAGAGCTTGCAAAACGATTTAGCTTTCTTGATGGAGTAGCTGAACAATAGAATAGAGCAACGTATGGTGAAAATGATGGAACTTGTTCAGATGGATAAAATGATAAAATTGAACAGAGAAACGACATTATCTAAAGTTCCTCTAATACTGCAATTTAATTGCTCGGTGTTTTTTTTCATCACTCTTATGTTCAAAAGCACATCTTTTAACAAGAGCTCCTGCTGAATTCAAATCTCCAACATTGATAAACAATTGGAGCTAATAGCTTCATATTTACTTTGCTGAATGGTGAACAGTAAATGAAAAAACAGCCTACTTTTATATTTTTATGTGGTTTGCTTTTTAGGGCTCTGAATGGCAAATCAAGCACCTATTATTCAGATTTATACTGAAAATTTACCTCTCCCTATTGTCATTTTGGTATGAATGTTATGGATGAATATACACGTGTGAGACCTCCTCTCCCCTACACTTGAAGGGACTGCTAAAAAAGAATTAAAATGGAAGGTTCCTGACAGTTTCCATTTGAACATATTCCAGGAAGAGCTGTCCACCATCTCTCTGAGCAATTCTGTAATTGTTTTTCTATTATTCGTACATTGAAAGTGCTGTAAAACATACTAAGCAAATAAATTGTAAATAATAACTGAGACTATAATAGTGAGATCACAGTTTTAATGAAACACTGGGGGTCAGTAGAGTGTTACACACTAATTATAAGTAAAGGCTGGATGTCCAGAGTTCACATTCAGCTCAGCTCATTTATGTTACACATTTTATGCTACTATTTATTTTGGAATCTGCACCTGGAATACCTGATTCTTTTCAGTTCCTTCTATCCTTATTTTATAATTGCCAGGTAGATTAGCGACTACTGTCCACAACTAGGCCACAGTTGCATAAGGATTTCCACAGTCAGAGACTCACATTAAGTGAGCTGGTGATTTAAACCATTGTTGCCCCAGAACATGTTTGAAAAGAGATATTTTGCCACCCACCAACATATGTTCTCTGAGCAACATATAATGAAATACAGGTAGTCCTCAACTTACAAGAAGGTTGTTTAGTGTTTATTCAAAGTTACAATGGCACTGAAAAAGTGATTTATGACTATTTTCACACTTATGACTGTGGGAAGCATCTCCATGGGTCACGTGATCAAAAGCCAGATGCTTGGCAACTAACTCATGTTTATGACGGTTGGAATGCCCTGGGATCATGCTTTTTGTGATCTTCTGTCAAACAAAGTCAATGGAGAAGCCAGATTCACTTAATAACCACATTACTAACTTAACAACTGCAGTGATTCCTTTAAGAACTGTGGGAACAAAGGTCATAAAATGGGAAAAAGCTCACTTAATAACGCTCTTGCTTAGCAATAGGAATTTTGGGCTTATTTGTGGTCATAAATCAAGGACCACTTTAATATGTAAATAAAGATACTGGAGTGAAAAAGGGGTTGCAGGTATTATTGACAACACATTGCACATGCTCACTTCTCTATGTTCAGGGATATGCATGTATGAAAACACTATTACAAAGACTATTTGTGCATTTTGAAGAAAAAAGATTAGAAGTCGTGGGGTGATGGAAATTATAATCATAATCCCATCTGGATCACCTAGCAAACAATGAAGATTGCTAGGAAAACTTTTGACGTGAAAATAAAATGCCTATTTTCCTCTACAGCTTTTTTTCTGTACATCTGAATAGTGGAAGTTACTCATTCAATAACTAAATGTTGAATAACTTATAGATTATCCTGAAAGTATAGCCCGCAATCCTACGAGTTGTAAAGTTTCAAGCAGAAAGCACCCAAGTTTATCAACTCAAGCTCTAGGACATTCTTTAAAGGTACTCACTGCTTTAAAGGAATCCAATCCAAGCAAATCTGTCATGCTACAAGGCTACAATAGGGAAATCCTTATTACTAGATTTTTTTTTCCTATAGGTCTCCCTACCAAGTCTTTCATTATGTAGAGCAGAGGTGTCAAACTCGAGTCCCACTAACATCATATGATGTATCCCAATTTTTACCTACTTTGCTAAATCGGGGGGGCATGGCCAGCACATGACGCATCCGGCCCACAGGCTATGAGTTTGGCAGCCCTGATGTAAGAGCAATTAAAAATATAATAGCTCTTAAGATTCACGAGTACTCTCTTGCTTTTGTCTGAAATTCATCCTTATCTCTATTAATATTTTATTTACTTATTTACCTTACTTTACTTTTTGAAACAGTCCAGTCAACTTACGACAATTCCTTATATAATGTTAGGGATTGTGACCTTTGGAATAAAAGGTGGAGTAAAAATGGTAAAAAAGACCACTCTATACATTGCTCCCCTCCCTCCCAAAAAGCCCTCAGAAAAAAGCCACAATAAATAGCAACCCTACAAACATTCTGAAACTGTCTTTATTACTCCTAGGAAATTTCATCTGTTTATTGGTGCCAGGCACAGAGGGAGAAAAAATGGGGAATTTGTTTCCTGAATAACAAACACATCATGATCATTATGCTCATTTGCAAAATAATGGTTAGAAAGAAAATTTGCTTAAGATCTATGACACAAATCTCCATTCATCAAGTAAAATGATTCTTAAATAAACATGAAAGAAATACCGACCTTGCTCCACTCCCTAAATATGGTTGATTTGGGGTTTACCCTTACGATTTTTGGTTTTGCTAGAGAATGAGTGATTTTGTATGAGAGAAAAAGAATATTGAAACTGGGACTTAATAAGTGTTATAAATACAGTTTACTATTTTTTCACCAAAATAAAACTAATAACCAAAAAAACTTTTAATAATTTGTTATTTTGATAATAAAAATGAAGACTTTTTGTGATGTTGTATAGTATTTATTTTATTCAGGGAAATGAGCAGGCAGATTTTATTGTTTTCTGAATTTTTCTGAAATGGGACAGAGGAAAAAAAAAGATTCATTTCACATTTAGATAGGTGTACAAGCAAAAATTTATATGAAAGCCATTATGAACCATGAAACAGCAAAATTAATGATATGCCATGAAATTACGTATATCCCTGAAGATGTTTTAATACTCAAAATACAAACCTTACTCACAAAATAATCCCTGCCCTATAACTAGTCTATTTGTATTCTTGAACATATAAGAATGTAAACAATTTAATTTCAGATATATTTGCATTTCACTTTTCATCAAGTTTTCCTTTAATCAATAATAATATCTGATTATCAAAAATACGAAAAAGTTTACATTGTATATGAAAACATTTCTACTATCTGCAAAAAAAGTATCATGTATCTGTACCTATATCACAGCAGGCTGGAACTGGAAAGCATGACAAGGAGGGGAGGAGAAAGTGGGAGAGGGAGAGAACCAGAGAAGACCAATGTGAACAGTGTATGGAACCCGCCATCAAGTCATTTTGGTGTTCAGTCTTTAAGACTTCAAGCATGGCTCAAGACTGAATCATTTTCTTCTGTGAATCAAAGACATATCTTTTAAAAAGAAGAGTGATATGAATAGGATGGGCAGAGTCCACCTTATTACTTTCATCCTCTTTTGCTGAATCTCCCTTCCCTGCCTTGGTCTTCTTCTTAGAAATGGCAGTCAGAAGTGCTTTTGTTTCTGGCTTCACCCCATCTGAAAAGATTTTAAAAAAAGTATTAGAAAGGAAACATCTCCAAGCAACCATCTCCAAATCTTGAAGTGGTTTGGATATGAGCTTCATATCCAAATGGTTTGCAGGGTTCCACAGCAAGAACAGCACTGCAGAAAACCCAGGAAAATGGAAAAATCTATCATTACCATTAATCTGCAGGAGAAATATATCAACTTCCTGAATACAGGTTGCCTACCTTGTATATGGGATAGGTTATATTTAAGTGATGACAATAAGGAGAATTATTTTTTTTAAATTTCAAATGGATTATTAGCTAATAAAAATTAAAATAACATATATTACACAAGAACCTTTCTTTTAAATGTCTTTATTTAACTTACATTTGAGATTAATATGTGAGGACCCTGGGTAATCTCAATCAAAACAAAAACAGTAACAGTAATTCAGGGCTCCACAATGTTTGGCCAAGTTGCTAGCAGAGATCTCCTTAAAAGCATATTCAGTCCTACCTAGCTGAATATTCTGCAAATGTAGGTATTAGGCAGTAAGCCAATTTCAGCTCAGGTATTTCTAACCTGTGGTGTCACATAACCTTATCTCAAACACTTAATCAGTTTTTCTCCTCTCATATTGAAATACAGAGACAGATTCTTATATCATGGTCCAACAATAAGATTGAGATGTTTATGATTTACTGGAGACAGGTCGTCTACAAGCACAGGTGATCTGTTCCATTTCAGACAAACTAAAGGGCCATTCACAGTTAATTGTGTTGATTCAGCACCAGGATATATATATATTTATATATTCAAGAAAAGATATGTCCACCATGAAGTAGGTACAGCATATTACAAAGGCCTAATGAAGAAGAAACAGCACAAGAAATGTAGTTCCTTTTCTTCCTAATATTTAAGTCATTTTTTCAGATATAATCCAACACTTCCCCATAGTTCCCCTATCCTATGAAATATTATTATGTAAATAAACTCCCACCTCTTTCAAGCATGATCTTGCAATAGGAAAAGGCAACATTATTAGACAAGTTGAATAGCTAGTCAATAGAGTGAGTTTTGACGTAGACATCTAAGATATGGTTTTGAGCAGGAGTGGGATTCTACCGGTTCTGTCCACTTCTGTAGAATCGGTTGCTATGAAAAGCAGCAAACGGAAAGCATACATAGAACCGGTTCTATGTCTGCTGCTGTTTTGGCCCACCCACCCACCCGGGCTCTTACTTGACCTTTATTTCCTGCTTTTTCAATCGGAGCTACTTTGCACGACACAGCTGTGGTTGAAAAAGCATGAAAAAAGGGCTTTATCAAACACTGCACACTTGCACGCAGCGCTGCTCAGCTGTCCGGGCAGCTCAGCAGGTCGTAAATTGCACTCGCGCAACTCACGTGACTCAAGCACATGCATGCACGACGCAGACCAACAAAACCCATAGTTATACTGGTCGGATCCCATCCCTGGTTTTGAGTTAATTTGAAAAGGGGCAAAACTAGTTATTTAAAATGTAATATGTGAATACAGCAAGCTTAGTACAGTATAAGGAATTATTGGTCTGCTCACTACAATTGGCTGCTGCTCTCGTTAGTGGGTATTATCAGCTTAACTTGTGAAAGAATTTTCAAATCAACTGTTAAGTAAGATCTTTTTTTTTTCATTTTTACAAGCTTTTTCAAATTCCAATATTTCAAGTCACCAAGTTTTTTTAAAAATTCATATCAGATTCCATAGAGGACAGATAATGCTTTACGTCCATACTCAGGAGTGTGAAAGCTAAAAATATCTGTTTATAAGAGCTGGGGAAAATATTTTATCCCAACAATGTAAACGATAAATGTTTTTATAGATTGTTGTCTACTCCAAAGAAGTTGTTCAATGTTTGAACAGGGTTTCATAATCATGCATACTTTTATTTTGGCTATCAAAAAGTCTTCTCTGTGTATTTTAGCAATTCAACTATAATATTTATCTATAATGTTTTAGTAGGTTTCTTTTTGTATTTTTTAAAGAACAAACAGTGGATGTTTTCACGCTTAGCTCAGAGATTTAAATTATTAGTAAATAATTTAATATATTTAGATGTAATTTAATGTTTTGTAAGGCAAATTTCTAATCAATGATACACTGAACGCTACCTGTAGAATCTTGGTAATTCCTCTGTCCACTTTTAAATACCATATTTATCCTTTAGTTGTTTGTTCACTCTTTTTTCTCCATTTTAGATATTTTTTTAAAAGCAATGTAAAAGAAAAAACCACTGAGAGGCTCACTCACCCTCTCAGTCTTCAAAGCTTTATCAAACACCAGCAGAGTCAGGCCCAAATGCATTGTGGGGAGAGGGTGTTACTGCTGCTGCTATACATGCTATCTTTGCAAGCTAGTTTTGCCAGATGAACTTTTTCAGCTAATATGTTCACTTTTATCTTCTTAGTTAATCCAGCCATCTCACTGTTAAAGAATGGTTGTGCAGGCCAATACGGCTAAAGCATTATTTTCAATTGTAACTAAAAATAATCTCAAATACTTGGCAGCCTGTAGCTGTGCACAATGGATGTGGAATTAAGATTCACACAAATCAGTATATTCTTATTAAAACAACTTATTTACTTAGAACTTTATCAGGAGAATCATATTTCATGCAAACTGTAGGTCTACTTCAATGTTAATAAATATTAATCACAATAATAATTTACTGTGTTGCCACCAAAAAAAAGGCACCAGGTCTTATTTTCAGGGGACGTCAACCACTGACTAACCTCACTTGCGCACATCGCCCTTGGCCTCCTTTTTGCTGTCAGAGGCCTTTAGGAACTTTTTCTTCTGCGGCCGGCAAAGCTTTCCTGAAAGACTCTGCAGTGGATAACAGAGCTCCAGATTGGCAGGTGTTGGTGTATGCGAGGCCTGGCTACAACTGCCCAAAAGTAAATAGTAGGGTGACTCCACCCTGCATCTCCACCCTAGCTTAATTTTTACCTATCCACTCTGGAGTGGGTGGGATCTTAATTAGGGCTTATTTTGGGGGTAGGGTTTATATAGGGCACATGTGTAAAAATCGAACTAGGACTTACTTTCAGGGTAGGTTGTATTTTCGTGGAAACAGGATATTAAATGTCACCTGTCTCCAACTTTGAATGGTTTAAATTGTTAAAACATTTAAAAACAAGGAACAATACAATCAATTTATTCTGATCAAGCCAGTTCTCATCTGTGGATATTAGGGGATGCGTTTGGGGGGGGGGGATAACAATTCATCCATCCATCCATGAATAATTATTAGTATAACTAAGTTATAATGCTTGCTTGTAATGTGAACAGTTATGTATACTACTGACACTAATCTGATTGTGATGGGGAAAATTTGATTGAATAAATAAATAAATTTATATGGTGATGTTTATATACTTCTTGCTTTTCCAGTTATTCAAAGCACTTTGCAACAAAATCTATTGATCAAATCCCCCCTAGAGTAAACCTGCTCTTTCTTAAAAGTAAATTTTAAAAAAACTAATTGCCCTGTCTGCACTTCCATTATACTGTATTTATTCTTATCTAATATGATTCCTCGCTATTGACTTACACTGGTAAATTTTCTTTGGGTGAAGAAGAATCTTTATAGGAAGAAGATGCTCAGCTTTGTAAGGATGCTTACAAGGAAGCTCTGTAAGCCTTAAAAACAGGACTGGCAGAGTACTTTCTACTCCGTTACAAACAAGTGCTTCACAACACGCAGAAGCACAAATATAGCACCTGCCTCCATCTCATTAAAGCAGCAGTGTCTTCTCACAGAATTGTGGAACAGTTTGGGAAAAAGACAGTGCTGCATTAAAGATCTATACAGAGGCATTACATTCCTGCCTTGTGTACCCTGATGCAACTTTCGGAAACAGAAACTAAAGCACTCTATCTCTGTATTTAAACTTTTAAAAACAGAAACTTGAATTGTTCCTAGAAGTAACTATATTGCAGCAGTATCAGAACAATTATACCAGGGGTGTCAAACTCGCATTGTCATGTGACATATTGCAAATTTCCCCCCTTTGCCAAATTGGGCATGGGCGTGGCTAGCACATGATGCATCCAGCACGCAGGCCACGAGTTTGACAGCCCAGAATTATACAATTATAACCACTCATTCATACACTGGTTTACACAGAGAAAAAGCAGACTGAGCAAAGAGAAAGACGAAAAAAGACAGCTTTACAAAGGCATAATCATGTTAAACTTTGGAGAGAAAAAAAGAGAAGAAAATAGAAACTAAAGAGTATTTTGCTTGCAAATTTGAATCATTTTTAGCAGGGAATTATCTCCAAGGCATTTTGTAGCTGGAAAATAGAAAAAAACAATAAGGTAGGTAGTTAACCAAGTGGAATCATGGGCTGCCAGCCAAAAGCAGCTCAGGTATTACAGCTAGGTATTTAAATTACTTAATCAAATCCCAAGGCCCTTATTCTGCAAACTGATTAGGTAGTTGCTGGCATCACACCCTGACAAATGGCATGGTGGGTTTTTTTTCACTCTGGTGCCAGGAGGTCTATGGGCTGAAGAGGCTCTGTGACACAGGCAACACAAAGAGGGAAAGCACAAGCAGACAGGCTGGGAGCCACAATCTAGGTTTCATCTACCTCAGTGGATTTCTCGTATTACACACAATGCATACTTTACATTTTACAAGACCAAGGAAATGAAGGAAAATATATCTTTCACCAAATAAGACATCAGCCCCTTAATAACTGAAATGACTGATATTTTTAGATGGAGGTCTAGTTTAACTTACTTATATTAAGAGTCTAATCTCTTCTGAACAATGACTGTGTAAGCTTGAATAAATAGTAAGAAATCTGTTCCATTAATTAAGTGCTGCCTGTACTACTCGGATTTGTAACAAATGTTAATAGATTTCTCTCCCTTTTCTCTGTTGGACAATTACTTTATTTTGCCAACTTGCTAATGGATTAAACTGAAAAGGTCCATGTATTTAAAAAGAAAGGGATTGTGTGTGAGAAAGAGAAGA